CCCCCCACCGCAGGGTGGCCACCTGCGGCCTCTAGCTCCGTGCTCTCAGCGCGCGCCCACCCACCCCCCGAACCCCAAAAGCTGCAGTTTTTCACAGCAGGTGCTGACACTGTGATGCACCATCCCTTGTCTGTCAGCACCTCATCATCAACAAACAATGGCTTTTTATATTTTTAATGATGTTTTACTGTTTGTAGTGTTTGTCATTTTATGTTGTGTGAGTGACAAGTGTAAGAGGCCTCTGCGTGTGGTTGTGTGATTGATTTGCGTGTGTGAGGCGCAGCCCAGCTGCAGCTGCGCAGTGCGGAGTCCTCTGACCCGAAGCGGCCGGAGAGGAACGGATAGCAGTGCAGACTCTGCACGGGGGGAGTGCAGGACGAGTGAACATTCCTTAGTGCAGAGGGGTGCTGCCTGTTTATTCATGCTCAGTGTTTTAAGTGGCACAGGTGAAAAACCTCTTCTAGTAGGAGGCAGTAATTCTGTGTTAATTGTTGTCTTGAATTTAGGTGTGTACTCTGTGGGAAGAGTGCACCTCTGTACCATCTACCTGAGGAGAATATTGTCAGCTTACTTGGGTAGCATTTTAAATTAATTGTGCGTGTGAGCATTACTGATGCTGATTTTACTGGACAAATTTGTGCTATGATTTCTACTCCTTACCCACCAGTAACCATTCCAAAAAACACTTGCATTGCTCAACTTATACCTTTTTTGAGTTGTGTTCCTAAGACAGAAAAACAGTTGCAACATGATGGAGGATTCGACTCCACAGGACCTTCACAAGTCTTTTAGTCACAGACTGTTTCATCATCAAGGCCGCAGATGACCTGTACACTATCCAACAGAAGAGAACTGCCAGCAACAGTAATGCTTACCGGACTTCTGGACACAGGAGCTGATGTAACTATTATATCTCATTATTCCTGGCCAACAGAAAATATGGATATGGGAGTAGTAGGACCCTGAGGGTCAACAGGTGACTGTCAAATCCCATATGATGACAGCCACCCCACCACCCCCCCGAATCTGTGGGGAAGGGAATGCTTGTTACAGTAAGGTGTGAAGATTACTATGGATTTTTAACGAGGGTCACTGTTCTGCAGGGCATTAAATGGCCTACACTGGAATTAACTTGGTTAAGAACTGAATCTGTGTGGGTAGATCAGTGGCCCCTGCCAATTGAAAAGTTAAAGGCCTTGCAAGAATTGGTGCAAGAACAGTTGGTTGCCGGACACATTGAACCCTCTCAGAGCCCCTGGAACACTCCTGTATTTGTAATCAAAAAGAAATCAGGTAAATGGGAGGTTTTTACATGACCTGCGGCAAGGTAATGCTGTTATGGCCACGATGAGGGCTCTGCAACCAGGTATGCCCTCACCTGCCATGATCCCTCACAACTGGGAAATTATAGTTATAGATTTGAAAGACTATTTCTTTACAATACCGCTAGCTTCTCAGGACAAAGAAAAATTTGCATTCTCTGTGCCTTCTGTTAATCATGCAGAGCCTGTACAAAGATACCACTGGAAGGTGTTACCGCAGGGCATGAAAAATTCTCCAACAATATGCCAATGGTTCATGGCACAAGCATTGTCACCTGTATGGGAAAAATTTCCCACCAGTTATTGTTATCATTATATGGATGACATTTTGTTGGCATCAAACAGCGAGGAGCAGTTGTGTGACATGGAAAATTTTACTAGAGAATCATTGCAACAATATGGATTGATTATTGCCCCTGAAAAAGTGCAAAAAACAGAGCCCTGGAAATATTTGGGGATGACAGTTACGAACAAGCAGGTCATTCCCCAACCTGTAAAACTTGACCTCGAGGTTAAAACACTCAATGATGTGCAGAAATTAATGGGATCTTGGAATTGGATCAGACCATACCTCGGACTGACCAATTCACAGCTACAACCTTTGTTGGAATTGTTAAGTAATTCCAATGATCCAACAGAACCCAGAACATTAAATAAGGAAGCATTAAATGCAATTCATATTGTGGAGCAATCCATACACAAAAAATTTGTTTCTCGAATAGATCTGTCTCAATTAGTACAATTCTTTGTACTGATTGACAAAACTGTGCCATTTGGTGCCTTAGTGCAGTAGAATCCTGAGTGGAATGACCCCTTACACATTTTAGAATGGATGTTTTTATCATTCAGACCACAGAAAATTGCTCCTCGATTATATGAGTTAATTGCTGATGTGATCATAAAAGCTAGAAAACGCTGTTTGGAGTTAACAGGCCATGATCGAGCTATGATTGTTTTACCTGTTCAGAACTGGTACTTTGAGTGGTGCCTTGCAAACAAGTATGAGTTACAAGCAGCCTTAGCAAACTTTCATGGACAAGTGTCTTATTATCTTCCATCACACCTGCTACTAAAATTTGCTCAAGAAATACCATTTGGTCAGAAGCACTTGAGCCAGCCAGAACCTGTTAAAGGCCTTACTGTAGTCATGGATGGATCAGGAAAAACTAGTAAAGCAGCAGTGGTGTGGTACAAGAATAATGTCTGGAATAACAAAGTTGTTTACCAAAGGGTTCTCCACAAATTGATGAACTGCGTGCGATGACTATTGTTTTTACTACCTTTCCTACTCCTATTAATATTGTAACTGATTCTGCTTATGTGGCTAACTTAGTTCCCCAACAGGACAAGCAATTGTCGAGCATGCACATGGCATGCTGAAGCAGCAGCTTCAAATACAAAAAGGGGGAATGGTTGGGAAACCACCACAGGCGTGTTTAGATAAAGCAGTTTATATTCTTAATATTCTTCATTATGGGGATGTTGCTTCTACACCTCCTATATTGCAACATTTTTCCTCTCTTTTTTTCAAAACAGAATTTGCAAAAGGGCATCAAAGTACATGTTAAAGATTTAGTTACTGGCCAGTGGAGTGGACCACATAAGTTATTAACTGGGGGAAGAGGTTATGCTTGTGTTTCCACAGGTCACGGCTCCCGATGGTCACCGGCAAGGTGTGTGCAACCACACCTGAGGGTGAGATGCAGCCAGCACTCAGGATCCAGCTGTGGGTGCTGTGGGTGCCCCTGTGCCGACAGTTTGTGATCTCTTCAACTGATCATTCAAGCAGAATGTCTGAATGATGTTTGCTACTGCAACAGAACAAACTACACTGCAGTTGCCAATTCTTTTAAGAGAAAATGCTAACAATAATTGCAACTTCTTAATGAAATATCTAGGCTTACTAGTCACTAGTGAAAGATGTAGTTTAGATGGAATGTAGTTATTAATAAGGATGAAATGCTATCAGAATGTGTGTTTTCAACTAACTTTGCTTAGCAATATCAAGAATTAAGAACTCAAGTGTTTAATCTTATTAGAAACTCCTTTGGTTTTCCCCCTTGAGCGGTGGCCAGGCTCTGGGTGGAACCCAACAGGAGGATGAAATCAGATGTTTCTGCTCAAAGAAAATTGCCAGTTATTTTGGCCTGTTGATTTAGAGGCTGGACTTGCTTGCAGCGATGCTGGATGCCTCACCTACGGATGGACGCATCACATAGGATTTCCAACTTTTAAGGAAAGGTACTCTAAATCCTCGCTGCAACCAGGTTTCCCCAGCAACTGTAGATCATTCTGAATCAATCCATAAGATCATACAACAGTTAAAAGATGGTGTTAAGCATTTGACAGAAGATGATGGTCTCGATTGGCTAACAAAGTTGTTTAAAGGATGGGGGTTATCGGGCTGGCTGATTTCTTTGATCAGAATGACTGGAATGATCCTGTTAGTCATCATAAGTGTGCTTTAATGTTGCCATGTCTTTTCAGTCTCCTGCAAAGGGCCCTGCAGAAGGCTGCTCATGCAATATTTGTAGCACAAATACAAAAAGGGGGAATTGTCGGGGTAGGCAGCGGGTCTGCTAAACGCCTGGCAGAGCAGATGGAATTTAACCTCAGCCAGATCATCCCGTACCCATGAGAAGTCTGCATGCAGGAGGACATACCACAGATAAGGAGCAAGGACAGTGAACATCTGCTGGAAGAAACATGAAACTGTTGAACGCAGATAAGGAACTGTGTTAATTATGTTCAGAAGTAAAACTTTAAGAAAGCTATCCAGTCATGTACCGTTGCTATGGGTGTACCGTTGCTATGGGTTTAGCCAATTATGTTAGAGCTTGAGGTAGTTGTAAAAGATATATAAAGTATGTAGAAAACAATAAACACACTTCTTCTTCTTCTTCTTCTTTTACTCCTAACTTAATTGTCAATTGTCGCATGACCGTCTCTACCGCGACAGATTTGTATGGACTGTTAAAGGAAAAAGGCCATAGTTCTGCCAAATGAATGCCTTCTTCTGTACCTGAATGTTCACATATTCAGAGTAAGAGGACAGAGGCTGAACCACTCTGAGAGGCATATTTATGATACAAGCAGCCTGAATGCACTCACTAACAGGGACAGGCAGTTTTTCTCGCTGTTTGTTCATGTTAGAGTATTGTGAAACTCCATCCTTTGTGATTAGTCATTTACCAAAGGAAGTGTAGGGATGTTTTTGTATACCCTCTTGCTGGAGTTAATGAGGAAAATCAGAAGTCTGAATGTTATTTTCAATGGAAAGACAATAAGAAAGAGGTTAAGTAAATAAAAAGGAGGAAGAATGGCCTAAAGAAAGGGAAAATTGAATACAAGGAAAAGGAGAAGGAAATAAAAGTAAGGAAACCTGTATCTTAAAAACAAAGACACCAAGGGAGCATTTAATTAACTTGTATTTTCTATCAGTATCTGGATGTTGGCACAGTCACTGTGTTTCTCTTCTGTGTCATTGGTATTCTGCATCTTCCAAAGATATAAAAGTAAACTTAGCTGTTTTACATGAGAAAAGGAAAGTGAAATAGTAGACAAACAGAGGCATTATGAGGAAATAGACAGAGACAAAAAAACCAGAGACAAACAAAAGGCATTATGAGGAAAATGATTTTATTCAGCAAGTGAATGAAGAAAAAGAGTGACAAGAGCTTCATTGCTTTATTTATGCCTTTTGAGCTATATCCATCTGGGATATTTGCCTTCAGTAGAGGCAGCTTCAAGGTGATGAAAATGAGAATGTTACTGCCCTCTGTAGTTTAGAAATCACAGATCTGTTTCCTTTGATGGGGTGTTGACATCAATTTTTAGAAATCATGGTAGAAAAATTATCTTTTATGTATACATTAGAATTACAAAAGTTAAACTTTTTATAGAGACTGTTGTCATAATACTTGCTGTTCACTTGTTTAATTCAACCTGAGGTATTCCTGTAGTTTCTAATCCGAGCTGAATAGTTAAGGAAAACTTGAGGAAAAAAAACCCCACATTTTATTTACCTTTTGAGTGAAAGATTTGTGTTGATTTTCAAGGTTAAAAAATTTAATACATAACTTGCTTACAGCAGTATTTTACCCAGAGTTTCTAGATGAGTTGATCTGTCAGGGAGGTGACTGTCAAATGGAAAAATAATAAGGTCAGGAATGAACCTGTCTTATTTGTGGCATGAGGGCATTTGAAATGTTTTTGCTTAAACATGATTATAATCAGAAATGACATTTAGTAATAGCCAAAAGGATTTTGGCCATTATCTAGTTGTATTTCATAGACATCTGGAGTGATCACAGCAAAGGAAGAGCCTCAACTGAGAAACCCTGAGCTTATTTACTTCCAGCATTGGCAGAGCATTGGTCAGAGATTCAATTCTTCATAAGAGCATCCCTATTAGAAAAATGTTTGATGTCTGGCGGCAGATGTATAAGCTAATAGCTTGAGTGGCCATAGGGGATCATTGTCATCATCTATTCTGAACCTCTTTTATCCTGAGTGTTCATCATAAAACACATACACAGTCTTGGGAGGATAAGGTAAGAGTATTAATCACTAGGCTATGGAGAATACATCTGCATGATATTTAGCACAAATACAAGCTCTTCTACCTATTTGACCAAGCAGTCACATAGTTGTGACTAGTGCAGTTTTGAGGTTAAGCTGGTAGTAGTGGTAATGCTAGAAAACACAAAAGGTATTTATAGGTGACTGAAGTGGGTTGATTGGAAATTGTATGATGAATGTAGAATTATACAGTACCTCAGGCCTCTTGAGAGAATGCAGGGTTCCAGACAACATCCCTCCACTATGAGTTGCATTCATTTAGCTGATACACAGATGTGTGATTAACTTAAAAAACCACCAGATCCTATTCTTTAAAAACAAGTATTTTAATTTTTAAGTGCTTGTCTTGTCTTGTTTTTTTACATCTCTATCTCAAGGGGTCTTATTTTTGGGGTCCTATCTATTAATCACTCATTCTAATCTATGTTGTGTTTTTTGCTTTGGTTAAAAATTCTTTTTCCCCCCAGGCTAAGATTGACTGACAGATCTCTCATCTTCAAATATTTCAAGTGCTATAGCCACTTTTGCTTTGTTCGGTCACATGCTAAGCTGTAAATATGTCATATGCATAATATTAATATATGTAACTGCTTTACCAGATAATTCTCTGCTCTAAGTGACAAAATTCACGATGTTAAGTATCAAATCTATATTATTTTTTGGCAGTAAGTTTGGAGTTTATTGCATCTGTAGAGATATCTGTCTTAAAAAAATGAAAATTCTGGCTCTGTGTTAAAAGAGTGTTTGAAGACTGGCTCAAAGACTGGCTCAAAAGGCATTAATAATATATCATATCTGACTGCTGCTTGCCCGTGCCAGATTAGGAAAGAATGTTCTTCATCTTATTTGAGTGCTTATAACTGTGGAACTAAATGAATGCAAAGTCTGACACCTAACTTGGTTTCAAAAATGCAGCCACTAATTTCCAAGACTGAAGTAAGTATGTAGGCATATTTCTCCCTGTGCGCTGTTCTAAACTTGAAAGGCTGTCACCTGCAGGACTCCCTGAGTCTTGTAACTACATGTCAGACTTATTCTTCCATGAATTTTTTCAACTGGTTTTTAAACATTTATGGTTTTGATATCCATAACATTCTGCATTAACAAATTCTAAAGTTTAACATTTGTAGTATTAAAAATTACCTCCTATTGTTTTTCTTAAATGCTTTTACTGGTAATACAGTTTGATACTCCCTCAAATTACAGTAAAGTAAGACTTTGTAGGAAAAAACTGTCACAGAAATGTTAGAGGACAAATGATGTGGCATGCATTTTACATAGCTGGTATTGGGAGAGCTTTAGGGTGACAAAACTATTGCTTTAGGGTGACTTTTACTGAGCCCTGTTTATTTAAATTACTTAAAATATTTTAAAATTTACATCTAAATATCCTTTAGCCTGTTAGTTTCCTCTTCTGAAAGACATGTTCCTACTACCTTGTTATTAAACTTTATATGTATGAAAATTCGATCAAAATACTTCTTATTTTGAAGGAAAGGGTGAAAAAGCCATCAAATACTTCCGATTTCTAACTTGTTCCTACATACTTCAGCTGTTGTCTTGTAATGTACCCTAGCAACATGTCATTGCTTTCAGTTTTATGGCTCTTTTTTGGTTTTCAGAGCATTAACAAGCTTCTGATATAATCATTTTAGTCTTACAGTATACTTCCTGTTTTTCCTCCTTGTTGTAAACTGAGTTGCCTGCACTCCAGTAGAACTGTAATCCCCTTTGCCCCTGTTTGTGAAGTAACTTCATTTTGAAAACAAATATGATAATTATTATGAGGTAATATTCACTACTGGTTTTAATGTTATGTATTTTCATTGCTAATTTGATATACCCTTTCTTCTCCTTTAGATTTCATTCGTACAGGAATGACTTTCTTGAATTTGTTGAAGACTTTTTTGAGTGTGGTCTGAAAGGTAAAAAAGGAAAAAAAAATAATTTTAATAATGTATGTTAAAGCCAGCATTATGTTCATTGGGGACTGGCTTTTGGGTTTTAAATTCTCAGAATTTGCATTAGCATGGTATAGTACTATCTAACAACACAAAACTCTTTAATGCGAGATACTCTTATAATTAGTTTGCTTTCTTCAGCAGTTTTGTTCTACTTGTATGCATTCATTCTGGTATTAGTTTGTTGCAGTTTGAAGCAAAATGCTTACTAAGCAAATGGTCTGCCATAGATATCTGAAAGAAGTTGCTGATACGGTAATGGAAATAACCTGTTTAATTATTTTATCATTCTATCATATAATTTACTAAAATGGTAGAACGTATTTTGCCAAGGCAAAAATCAAGAAAAGAGGTTAAATGATCTGCCAAAAATTGCAGGGAAAATATAGGTCACATGTCACAACTACTTGTTTCCATGTTCTGACTTACACCTGAATGTAGATCTGCAAAGGAAGGGAAAGCATATTGTCTACTCTGAAAACACTGATGTAAAAATCAGAGGGAGAATAAAGAGAAACCAATGTTTTTCACCCTTTCCATAATTAGTATAACCCATGGAGGTCACACCAACTGCAACAAAATTTGCTGGTAGGCTCAGTATTTGGAACAGTGGTGCATGAAGCATCAGCCATTATGTGCCAGCTGTGGCTCTGTCTCTGAAATTTGCAGCCCACAGATACTCTAACTAAGAAAACAGTAAAACTGTCATGACTATATTAATATTTTACAGAAAAAACAGGGGGATGGCTTCATCTTATAAATCTCTATATATGTTTCACCACCCATTTCCTGAGGCTCTTTTAATATTCCTACAGATTCATCTAGTCCTAAATCTAGTTAATGTCTACTGACTGGTACTCCTTGTTTTGCAGTGTGATCCTCTATGGAATTAAGTGCTAAGGCTTGGAGAACAGGCCCAAGCCAAAATTGACCTATAGATGAATCCTGTATATTTTATAACTGAAAACCATTGTGCTAGTAGATATTGTGCTACTTTATAACAACCCACTTATGCTGATGTAAAAAGTGCTAAAGCTTTGAAATACTGAAGCCTGAACAACAGGCCCGGAGCTGAAGCTGCTAACTTAGTCTGTAATCATTAACAAAATGTGTAAACTCGCTAGTGAAAGATGGAGTTTAGACAGAATATAATCAGCAGTGAGGATGAAATGCTGAGAGAATGTATCCAACTTTTCTTTCTCAGCCTTCTTCAAGGCTGAGGAGAACCCAAGTGTTTGGCCTTGTTAGAAATTCCCTTGGTTTCCGCCCCAGGCCCTGGCCAGGCTTTGGGTGGAATCCAACAGGAGAATGAAATTCAGATATTTTCCGCTCAAATCAAAGGTGCCAGTTATTTTCTGGCTTGCTGATTTTTGGATATGTAAGGCTGGGCCCGTCTGCAGCGACTTTGGCAGCCTCACCTGTGGGTGGACGCACCACGCAGGATTTCCCACTTGCCGGGACAGGCTCTGCAAACCCTCGCTGTAACCGGGGCTGCCCAGCCACTGCGGGTCTGGGTGATGGTAACGTGTGCAAGTGGTGAGGGATCTTTCTTAATCACTATTCTCTCTCTCGTGTAGCAATGATTTGTTGCATTACCCTGTATTTTCCTGTTTTTTGCTTTAAGTGCCTTGTTCTGTCTTTTCTTACTGCATGTTTTCTGTATTACTCTGTTACATTGTTTAGTTATCCCCAGTAAAATGCGCCTACTCTTTTCACTCTGGTGTCTGAGTTTAATTGGTATCCTTGATCAGCAAAACACCAGAAATCCCATCCTAATAATTTATTTTAGATTTATTATGTGTGGATAACAACCATGTGGTAAAGTGTTCTAAGATTACATGCATGTGATTATTCCAAATGAAGCTGAAATTAGTCTGTATTCAATACATACAAGTAACAGTCTTCTGAAATAAATGCCTGTTCAATAGTTAATGTAATGTACTGTAATATGGTCTCAGTAAGGCAAAACTCACTTTTAAAGCATAATTCTACGTGTTAATATTCTTCAGAGGACAAAAATCTCTTGATCTTCATGTGACACTGTCATCAGCCTTTGACAAGAAGTTCTGAAGATAAGAAGGAAGAACAAAATAAGTAGCTTAACATTTAAAATCTCATTTACCTATGATAATTATGACATTTATTTCCAAAATGAAGTTACTTAACATACAGGGGCAAAGGGGATTACAGTTCTTCAGGAGAGTAAGCACTCAGCATAAATTCCAAACTGAGATAACTGCATTTTTATTTCTAGTTGTTATCTACATAAATACTGTTGAGATCAAGACATAGACACAATTAAAATAGTGAACCTTCTGGGCTAAGGAGCCTGATTTAAAGCTGGGATATTCATCCTTGAATAAACAACACTCAGTAAAGTGGTGCAACTCCAGGTAGGAAGAGTACATACCTAAACAGCAGTCAGTCAGTCAGTCACTAAGAGAGAAGACATGTCCAAGGAAGCACACAGAGGAGCTTGGTACTGTATTTTACCTTAGCACATACTGGTATCATAAAGAGCCAGTTACAAAATATCATTCCCCTCCCATTAAAGTTGGTGTGACAGTGTATGTTTTTCAGAACTTTCCAGCTCCCTCAAGGGAAAATTTTTTTCTTCACTGTGAATGTAAATGTAAATGTATCCTTAAGGCTTTTGTAGAACCTGTATGATACAAAAACATTTCATGCATAAGAAGTGAAGCTTAAAGGGGAACTGTTTAGAGAGATTTGGCGTCTCTGAAACAGCTCTCTGTTCTTAGGATCAGAAAACATACAGTGTTCAGATAAAATAGGTTCCATCTTAAAAGCCCTGCTCCAAATCCATAGTCTGAGTTTTGATGAGTTCAAAGACTGCTGGACTAGCTTTCTGAATTATAGGGAGATGAAAAGTTTCATCACAGGCTGCTGATTCTGCTTCTCTGCTTCCACAGATTTCACCAAATCAGCAGATCTGCACTTGAGCTCCAGTCCTGCAGAACTCTTGATCACTCAGACTGCAGTGCTAGCTACTCAGCAGGGCTCTTCTTGCTGCAATGTTGTTGCATTCTCGGATTTTGCAGGGCTGAAGTGCTATAGAATTAGACCTTTCAGCATGATTAGTTCTTTCATCAATCTCATAGACGACACATGGCTTTTTGCCTAAAAATTTCTGGGTAAAGGAAGCATAGATATTCTTGGTTTGGATGGATTAGGGCAAAAATGTAGTCTATTTTTATTTCCTGCACAATAAGCCCAATTCTAGCTTTAAAATAAGAAACATAAAGGTAATCAATTAATTATCTGTGTAACAATGGTGGATCAATACCATAAATAAATGAAGTTTGTTAGGTGTTTTGAGATTCAGAAACGAGGAATTATATTGCCGCAGCAAGCACCTATAATTTTTATTTACATGTATTGAGTTTTGGGGGGTTTTATTTGCAACAGAATGTTTATTTTGAGAAAAATGTATAAAATTTAATGAAAGAAATTTAAAATTTATTGCTTTGCAGTGGGCGGAGGAAGCAAGCAGCCAATTCAATGTGAATGATAGAGCAAGCTTCAACCCCATTGAAAGAAATCACACCCTACACAAGCACTCTACAATACACTACCCGCAACTCCACTGGACACACCCAAGAAACCACACTACAATATCTCAGCCATTGGGCACATCCAAAAGGTCACACTACAATACCCCAGCCCCTCGCGGCATCCCCGGCATGCACAAACACCTCTCCTCCTGTGAACCTGCCCCTCTCCCAGGGCTGCCCTCCTCTCACCCCCAAGGCCACAATGCGCCCCAACCCATCTCCCCGTTCCCACAACAGTCCTTGTTATCATCAATGTACCCTGGGTTTTTTCCTCTGTTCACCTCAGGTGGCCGCGACCAACCTCTGCAGGGAGCCATGGCCGACCGGCTCCTGCAGGGAGCCATGGCCTAGCTCTCTGCAAGCCGTTCTCCAACAATTCCCCCTTTTTCTTTTTGTGCAGGCTGCACAAGCATAAATTTACTAGTATTTCTCATTATACAACTATATGCCATCTTAATACTTACTACAATCAATAATATTATTCCTAATCACCGCAATAAACTGCTAAAGGTACCCTATTAAGTACAAAGCATCCCATATTACCCATATTCAAAGGATATGACTAAATACTACAAAATAAACAGTAAGGAAAGTATGGAATAGCACACTTAATTAATAGAAGTACTAACATTCAGATCCACAATTGTTAGGGAACCCTGGATACAGCGAAAGTTTAGAGTGCCCTTCCTCACAAACTGGAAACCCTAGTGATGCGTCCATCCGTAGGTGAGGCATCCAGCATCGCTGCAAGCAAGTCCAGCCTCTAAATCAACAGGCCAAAATAACTGGCACTTTTCTTTGAGCAGAAACATCTGATTTCATCCTCCTGTTGGGTTCCACCCAGAGCCTGGCCACCGCTCAAGGGGGAAAACCAAAAGAGTTTCTAATAAGATTAAACACTTGAGTTCTTAATTCTTGATATTGCTAAGCAAAGTTAGTTGAAAACACACATTCTGATAGCATTTCATCCTTATTAATAACTACATTCCATCTAAACTACATCTTTCACTAGTGACTAGTAAGCCTAGATATTTCATTAAGAAGTTGCAATTATTGTTAGCATTTTCTCTTAAAAGAATTGGCAACTGCAGTGTAGTTTGTTCTGTTGCAGTAGCAAACATCACTCAGACATTCTGCTTGAACGATCAGTTGAAGAGATCACAAACTGTCCACACAGGGGCACCCACAGCACCCACAGCTGGATCCTGAGTGCTGGCTGCCTCTCACGCCTCAGGTGTGGTTGCACACACCTTGCCGGTGACCACTGGAGACTGAGACCTGTGGAGACACAAGCATAATCTATTCCCCAGGTTATTAAAAAAATAGTCCTTCCCAGTTACCCCTTTTTAAGTTTTTCTTAACACTTGAGCTTTGTTTTGGACTTCATGTTGATCTGGTATCTATGATGAAAAATGACACAATACTGGTGGCACCTGTGAGACAGGGGAAATGTTTAAAATGTTCATGACATATAATGCCTTATTTAGCCTTTTGTGAGGTGTAGATTGATATCTTGCATCTTGCCCCTTTGTTGTTGTTGTTGTTGTTGTTATAATAGACACTTTAGCTTTCCAGATGTATGCTTCACAGTGGCCTGACCAGCCGGTGAATGGGGAATGCAGGTCAGATGCTTGACTCCCCACTGTATGACAGGATGCAAACAGTGCTCCAGAAAAGGTATTAACAGACACATGTACATATTTTAACATTTGAAATGCAGCTGAGTGACAACAGATTGCTATAATTCTGAGGAGATGAGTCCCCAAGAGTTGACACCACTTCCCTGTTGAAGAAATGGAGTCTTTCTGGTATTCAGAGCAAGTTGCAGTGATGTCTTTAGCTTGATGCCTTGATAAAGAAAACTGGTTTTGTATTGCTCTGGCATTTTGGTGAAAAAAAATGCATGTGTTTTACAGCAGAGCGAATGGTTGACCTGGAGCCAAGATCTCTCCCCTTTTTTTTTTTTTTTTTCTTTTTCAAAAGCATTTTCAAGGTGTAGCATGTTCTTTCTATTTTTTTTTTTTTTTTTTTTTTTTTTTGCAAAAGCACTTTCAAGGTTTAGCGTGTTCTTTCTACGATGGTTTGTCCTGTGGGGGAATACGGTATACTTCTGACGCTTG